TGAACATATATATATATATATTTCATCGCATTAATGGTGGAGTCACAAATTTTAATAAGAGTTTTTAAAAGATAAATGCCAAATGGAATTTGTAAATGTGAAATCATGGCGAGCGAAGGTATTAAAAAAGACAAGATCGTAACAATCCAGCTCGCTAGTGAATTGTTCTTTTTGGGTTTAAGCCCACACGATTTTGTAATGCATCATTGGGGTTTAAGGTCTGCTTAATTATTTATCTAATATGTCTCTTGTGTTTTTCTCAATGTGAGACTGTTTATTCTAAACTAGGGTGTCACATTCACACCACTCTTATAGATTCAACGTCCTCGCTGAGGGTTACCCACTGCATGAGATTTGTCTAAGACTCACTGAGGTTAATTTATCCCGCTTGATCAAAATTTGCCTAAATTCAGTTGACTCTTTCCCATATCGACAAGATTTACACAAGAATGGTTTTGATAACATTTATAGCGGCTCAACCCGCTAGTGAAATGTCCGCTTTGAGTCTAGGCTTACACAACTTTAAAACGCATCACTAAAATGTAATTTCCTGCTTATTATATGCTCAATATCTCTTTTGTATTTTATCGATGTGTATTATTTATATACCTAATATCTCTTATATATTTTATTGATATGTGAACTTCTTATCCTAGAAATATGAAAAGCATAAACTAAAATTATATAAATAAAAGTAGCCTTAATAAGACCTACAATCTTTTAAAATCAATGCAAACATAGTGCAAGAACACAATAAAAGTTCTTTTTTCTTTCTATAAATGATTTCAGTTAATCGTAAATATAACAGATGTTAAATTTTTTCAACTTGTTCAAATGTTTTATTATGGTAAAAAAGAAAAATGACGCAAATAAATAGCAAATGACAATGTATTATGATACTTTCTCTTATTAATTGTAATTTTTTTCTTCATATTTTAAATTCTTTAGTAAAAATTTTGACTTTAATTCCCACTATTCCACCTATTTTTAGAGTCAATTGTTATCATCGAAGGTAATTGATAATGGATACAAAAAAGAAATACTCAATTACATGGTAGACTACTAAAAAAATGGACAGTAAATTGGATTTTTCTCAATTTCTTTCGTTTTCATGCCAGATGTTTGATAATAAATTGGCTTGCTAAAGTACCAATATATTAATGACTTTCATATATTTGGATATATATGGATTTCTCTGTAACTACAACATCATATAATATTTTATTATAATGATTATTTTTTTTTCTTTCAAAATTGATTTTTTATGTTATATTTTATCTTTATAATAATTTTTTAATTATCTTTAATAAATACCGACTATTTTAAAAAATAATAATAAATACACTTTAAAATAACCCCCTTTATTACAATTTTGTTATATATTTTAAAATTATATAATAATTAACCATTGTAAAAGTAAAAATAATTCTTAGATTACCAATAATAGATCTAGAAATACTGAACTCCCTTGACTTCTTGATATATACTTATTTATGAAGATATATATAGTTTTGAGGCTAAATGCCATTGACACACCTCTCAAACACAACTCCCTAATTTTAGGCATTGACAAGGTGTATAGAAATTGTTGTATTAGTAATGTCGATATTAGTAATGTGTATAGTTATTTTGAAATAGTTTTTAATAGAGTATTTAAAATAATATACATTATTTTCTAACAAAAAAATATTATAAAAATAACCCTCCATAATATGATAGAAAGAATGTAAAAAGAATTTTGAAAGGTAATTTTATTTTTTAATCATACTACTGCATACATTAAAACACTTAGCATTACTAATACTATAAAATTTCATATATTTTTAATATCAAATGGGGTGAACATTAATTATACATAAATTAAAAGAGTGTATCAAACAAGGTACTAATAGTATACAAAGTTAATGTGTATATATATATAATAAAGGGAAAAGGGCCTGCTATACCTCCTCCCCCAACTTTGCTATTTGGAGCTGATATGCCCTTCGTTACGAAAGTGGCTCATATATACCCTTCCCGTTATACCCTTATATATGTGAGTCATTTGTATAACAGTAGGGTTACGTATGAACCACTTTCATAACAAGGGTATATCAACTCTAAATGACAAAGTCGAGAGGTATATCAACCACTTTCAATCAATTTATATATTTACTTTTCTATAATTTGAATTGTAAAAACTCCTGTCTGAGTCATTAATAATAAAATAGATCCATTTTCTATAAGTAATCATGAGTCCCCTTGTCATCATTCAATACTAGAAAAATATTAGATCTCTCTCTTTCTCTTTCTCTCTCTTTCTTCTTGTCTTTGTCTCTCTCTTACACAACCACAAAACTAGTTTGAAATATGTTTGAACTTCATGATTGTTTTATTTAAAAATTTAAACGGTTCAAAATAATTATTAAAAAATATGATACATAGAATAATTAGTTGAGAGAAAGTTTATGTTAAGAAGTATTTTACCTCTCCCTTTGCCTCCCCCTACATTGGACATCCCGTACGAATCGAATTAGCCGGATTGGTGGACAAACAAAAAAAATGGTTACAAATTTGATATGCTTTTGTTTATTTATTTATTATATTTGTCACATATATCGTGATATGAATTTTGATTATTTTTTTCATGATCAAGCACGTAAAATAGCGAAACATTTGCACAAATAGCCTCTTCTAATGCCACTTTTTAAATTCTATCCACCATCACATATATTTTAACTGCTCTGATATTATATTGTGTGAATAACGAGGTACTTGTACAAATAGCTTCTTTTAATACTATTTGTTAAATTCTATCTAACTCAGAAATAAACTATCTGCTATGATATCATATTAAAATTTTACGTCAATCTAATCTTTTCAATATGCCACATGGAATATAATGTGTATACAACTATACATAAAAAACACAATAACCACCTATTTATAGGATCTCACTCACTTCACATTTCTATCAAATCTTTATTCAAATCTTCTTTTTCTTCTTCTTCCTCAAGCATATATTAAAAAAATTAGGAAAAAAGTAGAAGAAAACTACTTAAAGAATCAAGAAAATGTGTGTCAATTCTACAGAATGGAGTGCTTCACGTATTTATTACTTCTCTGGAAAGAAACAAAAACCAAAAAAATCCAAAGTTCAAGTTCATAGGCTTGCATGGTAATACTTATATTACTTTAATTTCATACATAGTTTAAAACAATTACAATGTTTTTCTTCCATAGAAGTATGCTTTATTGTTAGTTCTTATTTCGAGAGTCAAATAAGAAAATATTTGATTGTGATTAATATTTGTATGTTTTAAAAATATTTTGAATGGTTAATTCTTGTGACTTATATCGTTGTTTAAGTAATTTCTAAAAACGTAAATTATTTTTCAAAAATCTTAGAGATTGTAGTATGTTCAAATGTATAGTCAAAATAAAGAAGTTTGCTTTCAAAATTCAAACTATTCTTATGAAGTGTGACTTTCTTCTTGTTCTATATATGTATGAATTTAATTTATATACATTGACAGTGTAAAAATATTTATACTGAAATTAAGTATTCAATCCTAATAATAGGAAAATAGGAAACAAAATTAAAGTAGAAAGATTTTGCCATGGCAAATTCATTATTCTTACTTGTTAGTATTTATACAATACCTTTAGAGATGATTACTTGTAACAAGTCATATTATTTCACAAACAAATATTTTGATTCATACTAACTCAATTTAGTAATATATAATATGATTATTTTTTTCAGGAGGAAGAGAAGTGAGGAAAAGGCAGCAGCAGGTAAAAATATGGAATTGAAAAACTTGAAGTTGTACATGGAAAATATGAGTATATTAGAAGAAAATGAGAACTTGAGGAAAAAGGCAAATCTTCTCCATCAAGAAAATCTTGCTTTATATTCTGAATTTGAGAAGAAAGTTTCTCACTTGGATCGGGTTTCCGCCACTCTTAATGTAATCAGGGACGGGGCTAGAGTTTAAGTTACGAGTTCAGTCAAACTCGAAGCACTTTGATGATCAAAATCAGTATTGTTTTAATAAAATCTATGGAATATGTATAAATTGTTAATTTTAAAATTCGAACGCATAAGCTTTAAATTCTAGTTTTGTCTTCCTAAGCCATCTTATCAATGAAGAAACCATACTTCATGATCTAAATATCATGTCTACGACCCTTATTTTCTCGAAAAGTGTTCTATGGAATATGTTTCTTTTTTACATGTTGAATTCAAATTATATTGCTAGTCTATATATCGTTTGAACTCATTAAAAATATTGTCGCGTTCATGTCGTATCCTTCAAAACTAAATGAATAGCCTTTTGATCTTTGTCGACCACTTTTTGAAACTTATGATCTTGAACTTGTCGTAATATTTTTATATACCGACAATAGCATTTTCATATACCAACAATGTTGTCAATAAAATTTAATTATATATAGTCACCTAAAATTACTTATAATTAGAAGTAAGAACTCATGACAAGTGTTAATCATATATTTTGAATTTGAATCTTAAAGCGAAAAAAGTCCTAAAAAAATACTTTTCCCTTCAATAAACATTATACAAAATGAATTTCACTTGATCAAAGTCCAAATCAGATATCCGATGCATGAAAAAAAAAGAAAAGAAGTCGGCAAAAGTAAAATGAAAGAGGAGACATTTGGGACCCTCTAAATGTACTTTTAGAAAAAAAGCAAAACATAATTTCCAAATATAATAAATTAACCTTTTGTATTTTCCCCACAAAAAAAAAGTATTCAGTGAAGCTTCTTAACACGCGTGAGGTTAAAAATTGTCAGTGTTGTTGCCTCCAATTTGTCTCCTTATTTTTTTTTAAAGCATGGTACAATAATATTAGGTTTATTAAATTTTTCATTTACAACATTTTCTGGACCTTGCTAACGCGAGATATTATTGTGGAAAAAATGATAAAAACTAATTTATTTATCAGATTCAAGTACTATTTTGAGAATAATTCAATGGATGTAGCAAATATCTGGTGAATAATCGAGAATTTGATTCAAACATTGATATTTATAAATTTCAAATCTCGAGTACATGAATTCAAAGAAGTACAATGAGTTTAGTCTAAAAACCTTAAAAGTTAAACAATATAAATTCAAAATCCTGGATCCGCTTTTGATTTCTTCACGAGCTAGCTAGAGCTCAGTCCACACTGGTGGCATCTTCTTGCTAAAAACTCTTCATTTCTTCGCATGGAGCAACGATTTCATTGCATGCTACACATTGTGTCTCACTACGCGCTGTATGTTCCTCTTCCTATTGTTGTTTTTCAGCACAAACAATATAGGGATCGTTACGTTATGTACGAGTTAGACGGAGAATTTAGTCGGGTGAGGTGACTGAAGAAAGTACACTGGACTCAACGATGATGATCACAGTTTGTTTGACTGGTTCTGTGATGATCTGTATATCCGGAATGCTGCAAAGCACATTGTGGCATTACCGATAACTGTCAAAGCTGCTTGTAGAGCCACTACTACCTGAAATTCATGCATGGAACGGAACGTTAGTCATATCTCCACGATGAAAAGAATATCCTACTTTACCTAAATTAGAGGTGGATTCAGGATTTGAAGTTTACGAGCTCCTATAGTGACATCAAGTCAATACTAAACAATAAATGAGTTCACTATACATATATAGGATCTGGAAAAAACCTACTGAGTTTGCTTGAACTCGTAACCAACATAGTAGATCAACCGCTGCCTAAATGCTAACGACAGCCTATAGGGGAATGGTTTAAGACAAATCGACAATCATCTCCTTCCCGGGAATTCTCACCATCAGGGTAACCTGATTAGAAACTCATTTAGGATAACACATTGTAATTGTTTTAATCGTCTGAGGAGTAACCATGGTCAGTACGGTTTCATATAGCCGATCCCAACTTGGTCAGGAGTGACGCTTGATTGTTAGTCAGAGAAGTAACTATAATATCTAAATGAGAGAGGCCACTGCACATGGTTAATACATCTTCCCCCAAAATTAGCTGTCCGCTTGAAGCAAATAACAGCCAAAACCAGTAAAACGATCACGAGGTCAATGAATTAATGGATTAACTGTGATCGCTATTTTTGCTTCGTTATTTCCCCCTTTTCAATGTTAATTACAGAAAGCTGAACATTTTATGTAACGATTGTTCACAAGATCAGAACACAAAGGGGATAGTCAAATTGTCATATTATATACTCGGCTTAATGCCATCGCAATCATATTTTACCAATAGAAGTTCATAATTTTCATTCTAGATAAAGAATTACATCTACTTACCTCAAGAGACTCCGAGTTATAAAAGAAATGCCAAGTGCAGGCACAGAGTGCTCCTCCAAGCAGGGGCACCTAAATCGGAAAGTAGTAAATGAAGTCACTTAGAAGATACGAAGATTGGGAGAAAAGAAATGGAGATAAGTGCTAAATGAGCAAAGAGAAACATGACGCGATAACTCAGCATAACCAATCAAATAAAAAAAAATTCACTTTGTTAAGAAAAGACAACATTTCACAACTTGAAAAGCTCTAATTTTTTCTGTCTTGTCACTGACTACATAATATTAGAACAAAAAACTCAATAATCAAAATCAACAAAATTTCGACATTTGAACTATGTTGGCCATGTCATGAGAAAGGTAAGAAAGTGAAAAAGGAAACCTGAAGAGCAAGTAGTTCTAAACTTCACAGATTGCCGCCAACAATATATATAGCACTGTGATGGCAGTGTAACCTCAACAAATTATATCACATGTACATGTTTTCCGCCACCGCTCCCTATGAAACATTTCATGGTTGGACAGCATATCATAAAGGTAGGTTTAAATCCACAAGTTTAAATCGTGTATCTTGGTTGAAAATACCTGTTTCGAATTGAGGCGTAATTGTTATTGTTGCTTTTGGCTGAGGATAGTAATGAAAAACATAATAAAATAGAGAAAAAAAAAAGAAGACTTCATAAACACCTGTACTTCTTCCTAAAAAAGTCAGCCATGAAACAATCAAGACACAACTATCCCCCCCGCAAGGTTTGGGATTGGTTGAATCGGGGAAATGGATTGGTGGGAGATAATCGGAATTATCAAAGAAAGAAAAATTCACTGCAATAAGAGGCTGACAGTGATAATATTCATTTCAGCCTCTTATAGTTTGTGTTTATTACTGTATGGTAGTAAAATGTTGATCAACTAATTGAGTTAACCCAATCCCAATCCACAAACGAGAATGAAGACATTTAGACTATTGTCTGATTAAACATATAAGAACACGGACTTTTAACTGACAGGAAAGACTGTTATCTACTTTTCTACTTCCAGAAGAATGCTATTTAAGCATAACAGCCATTTCTATTGGACCAGATATAGACACTGATCAGAGTTCTGCGACTCTAATATATCGCAAAGAAATAAGGTACAATGTCACAAAGCTTACATGTAGTTCACCCTACAGATTTTTTTTCTCATGATGTCAGTGTTCGGGCCAACTTGCTCACTTTGACTAATTCCATCAGGTACCTTTTACCTCCTACCAACATAGGTACCTCATAACTCTGTCCGCCAAGGTTTAGGCAGATTGGAAAGAAACCACTAGGGTATTTTGCCTCTGATGAGATTTGAACCTGAGACTAGACTCGGTTTACAGATTTCACATATGTATACAGAACCTATTTTTTTCAAGTTCTCTATAGTACATACCATGGGAAGTTTTTTCCTTTGAGCAACAAAAATATTTCAAAAATTGTTCTTTCTAGAGTTTTTGAGTTCAACTTCCATTTTTAGGGAAAGACTTAAGCTTCTATCTCATTTAACAACAGGTCAACAGAGATCGAGAAGGGCCAATATAACATTCATCAACCAAACTGAAATTTTCAACATATTGAGAGAAGTCATTTTCAAAAAGTATTTTTAAGCTCATTGACAGAGAGCAGATTCAATCTTGCAAACCTAGAGCGCAAAATTTTGAGCAAAATGTGACTTCCCAAAGGCAAAAGCATCTGCACAACAAATGAAATGATCATGAATAAGCAACATTACTTACCATACCCCAGGAGAGTCCCTTCCAAGATTCATAACCCGACTTTTCTCCATATTGCCAAACCAGAGCCATAGCAGTTACCCTTTCGAACAAAGTTAAAAATCAGTCATTTCATTCAGTACAAAAAACATATGAACAAATAACACCCTGCGACAAAGTGCATTGCACATTACAATACCCCCTCTTCCCAAATTTACATAACACCCTTTCCATTTTAGGACGTCTCAATATGTTTGATACCATTCCATTTCTATAAAACTTCCATAGTTTTTGATAATTCAAATTTGAGCTTTGATGTAATGTTTTAGTATCTGCTAAACTAATCTTTTAACTATTACTTTAAACCAAGATAAATTTGGACATTTTTCCGAGAAGTGGAGTCTGGGGAGGGTAAGTGTGTCTGTAGCCTTACATCTACCTTATAATGTAGAGGTGAATTTTGCATAAATGGATAAATTTGAACATTTTCTCTATAAATATACCGGAGCGGACCGTGGATGCACATCATATGTTACAGGTTTGAACCACAATAGAGTTTGCTCAAACCTTGTATATGTATTAAGGAAAGAGTGGAGGGTCAAAACCACACCTAAAGTACTCCCATTTTTCGAGATTCAAACCTAAACTATCATGTGTGCGAATTTCCTACCTAAACTATCACCGTTATTCATCAAAACACACCTCAACTATCAATTGTTCACTTTTCCTACCTGAACGATGATGATATTTCCTATATGAAACTCGAAAAATCGGGATACTCTAGGTGTGTTTTTGACCAATTAACTCTTAAGAAAACTCACTAAATAACTAGAAGTAATAGATTTTGAATCAAATAAATCAAATGGGTTGTGGTAGAACCCAAACTCAAACTTATAAAGTTCAAATCTTGATCAACAACATACACAATGTAATTTCACAAGTGGGGTCTGAAGAGGATGACGTGTATGCAGCCTTACCCCTACCTTGTGAAGATAGAGAGATGGTTCCCAATGGACCCTCGATTCCAAGTTCAAATCTTGATCCACCTCAAATGATATACTCCCTCCATCTCATTTTACTTTTCCATTTTAGCAAGTCAAGAAAGTTTTTTTTTTCCATACTATCCTTAGTAGTATTAAATAACAACATAAAGTAATAGTAGTCAAATTTAGAGTTTCAAAATATCAGTAATTAAAACTTTCTTAAGGATATGTCATGTCATGTCAACAAGGGTCAAGTATTATGAAACGAAGTGAGTATGATCCAAATTAATATCTTAAACTCTCATCAAGTCAAATATGTGCGACAAAAGAAATAGAAATAGAGAAATTACCATTCAACAACAGTGGAAACATGACTAGCCCAAGTGTGCAATGACAGAGCATTAGAAGGTTCATTGAATTGAAAAGAAGAAGAATCCATTAAACCTAACTCAGAACCAGAAGCTGAGCCCACCATTAGAGTTGTAAAAGCAAGTCCAGAAAAACCCAAAATTGTTGCAGCATTTTTCAAATTACTGATAATGGGTGCTGGAAAATGGGTCTTTTTTCTTGTAGAGAAGATAAAGTTTGGATCTTTATGTGTAAAAGAGAATTGGGTTTGTTTTGGATTTGGAAGAAAGTGAAGTTTTGAGAGGGATAATGAAATTGGAACTGCCATTGTTGGTTGAATTGAGAAAGTTTATCACTTTTTTGTTTTTGCTTTAGTAGATAAGAGAAAATATGAATGGATTTTTAAATAATATACATTGATTTTAAAATATGAATATATATAAATAGGCTGAATATATTGATGGTCACTTGAGCGTGTCAGTAAATTTCATTTCAATACTCGAACGGTAAGAAGGATAATGACTTATATAGCTAATGCCTATAATTAAAAGAGTTTGGGAACAAGTGTAAAAGAATTTTCAAATAAAAGATAGAGAGGTTATAATATGCATGATATTACATCCGTGAAGATAGAGAAGTGTTTACGATAAATTCTCAGCTCAAATAAAACATATTAAATATCACTGTGTAAAACAAAACAAATACAACAATGAAAGAGTTCATGCTTATAATAATGATAGAAGAAAAAGAATAACAATAACAAAAAAAATACAATAACTGAACTAAATAAAACAACTAATACTAAAATTTAAAAAATTATATATTGTATGAGAGTTAAAATGACAACACTAATAAAAAAACTAAACAACGCTCAACTACCTAAGTACTTCTTTTCTTCTGAAAAATTACACATGGAATGAAGAGAGAAAAAAAAACATTCCACACAAACATTTGGAGAAGTCATCTTTAGTTGTACCACAAGCACTGTCAGGACAGATTTGTGTGGATCTTTTTTATTTTTTTTGATAATCGAGAAATTTCCGAGGACCAATCAATAGACGGTTTGAAACTTGATGAGTGATTAGTTCAAGATTAATTTTAATAGTTATATCACGAGTTAATATCTTAAAATGTCACTCAACTTTGAAAATTTATCTAGTAAAATCATTGAATTTTGTTTTGTATCAATAAAATCACTCAACTTAGACTTTTATATCAATAAAATCAACTTATCTACCTCAAAATATACCTCTAAATGTGAATTTCCTTCATCTTCCTTCTTTTTTTTTTGTCCCTTATAATTCTAGTCAAAATTAATGAACTGACTCAATGTATTAACTCTTAACAAACATGAAAATCAAAATTGTTAATTCATACTAATTAAGGACTATTCAAGCTAATAAATTGACAATCTATGACGAGATCCCATTCCCAACTTCATCAACAAAGATCATCTCCAAAACAAGCCAAATAAAGCTCTTATATATTATTTTTAATTTTAATCCCAACACATTTTAGCTGAACTTCACAACATCTTCTATTTCTTTTTGGGGTCTCTTTATTTTTTTGAAAAACTCTTTATAACTAAATTAATCATAAGCAAATAAATAAAAAAATTAATTCCATGAGCTGCCTGAGTGTCGTAAAGTTTCAACCTAACATACAATAATTAAGGTGATGATAGCTGATTACTTACTAGATAACTTACGTAAACAACATATTCACGGGATTAACTTAAGAAAATTTATAATATTGCTCCAATTCTGGAGGAATTAATATTTATATTGCAAAAGTTGTCAAATCGGAAATTTCATTGTACGGGTTATTTGGCACTATATTTGAAAGAATGAATTTATTCACTCTTAATGCTTAGAATTAAAAGTGATTTTATTCATACAAAGATTTAAGTTGAGTGATTTTATTGATACAAATGCCGAAGTTGAGTGATTTTTTTGATACAAAACAAAATTTAATAACTTTGCTAGATAAATTCATAAAGTTGAGTGACCTTTTGAGATATTAACTCTTATATCACTCCATAACAGTTTCTTTTTTCTTAGTCCACAGCATCACTAGTGTGAAGCCCATTAATGACATGATCACAACCTGCAAAAATGTACCAAGCAAATGTTAAAATGTGATTAAAAGTTAAAACTGAAAAGATTTCAAAGAAAATAGAAAGAAAAATGAATAGGATGAGAGAACGGAAAAGGGTCAAAATTGCCCCTAAACTATACTGATCAACACTTTTTCCTTTATCCGTATGTTTTTTTTAAGATACCGAACCTGAAAGGACAAAAATGCCACCTTTTGGTAATGACAAGGGCAAAAAGCAGCCAAACTATTAACGGAGGGCAAAAGCGTCCCCCTTTGCGGAAAAAGTACAAGGGCGATTTTGGCCCTTTTCTATTAAATCTAGGGAAAATGCATAAGTACCCCCAGCCTATACCCGAAATCCCAGAGACACACCTAACCTTTACTAAGGTCCTATTACCCCCCGAACTTAATTTATCTATAATATTCTACCCCTTTTGGGCCTACGTGGCACTATCCTTAAAAAAATTGTCAACATGCGCTTGGCCCACAAGATAGTGCCACGTAGGCTAAAAAGGGGTAGAATATTACATATAAAATAAGTTCGGGGGGGGGGGGGGGGGGTAATAGGACCTTAGTAAAGGTTAGGTGTGTCTCTGGGATTTCGGGCATAGGCTGGGGGTACTTATGCATTTTCCCTTAAATCTAAGAATTTAACTTATATACACTATTAATGTAAAGAAGTTTTACATGATCAGTGTATTATAAACTTGTTATAGCAAGCAACCTGCTATTTTCTTGGTTACTAGTTTCAATTATTATGGACGGTTATCCGTAGTTAAGTGACCTAATAATGTAAAAGATCTTTTACACCGATAGTGTATAGACTCTAAATCTAAATACGGAAGTTGCAAGACTGCTTAACCTTGATACCCCTAGTACCACATAAACAGATGTACTCGGGATTCGAGGCTATTAAATTGCCGAGTTCAAGGGTAATTAGGCCAACGTAAGGTTCAGGTGTGCACTATATGATCTCAATCTCTTGCATAAACCAGGAGATGGACCTAGTGTTTTAGCAGCGGGATTGTTTGAACTCAGCACTTTTAGGTTCGACCTCATGTGCATGTGTGTGTGTGAAAACCGAACCTAGTGTTTCAAGAGACGAATGGGTGTAATGGCATTTTTCCTCATGTCTAATCTTAGATTCGACTCTGATATAGATATTGTATACCATAATTCAGATGAACGCGTATAAAGCTAATCATTTTTGGCAATTTTGAGTAACTAAAGCTTTGAACTATTTACCAAATCAGCTACTCTTTTTCAACTTTTTCAATAGGAAAGGAAGTTCGTACAATTGATAGATGACTTACTGATATAGCTGGAGGGACACTAACAAGGGGATCTTGGAAAAACTTATTGGCAAGAGCAAGGGCCAAAAGACTGCTCTGCATGCCTGCAAACGCAATTTGAAAATGACAACGTCAATCAAGTTTCAATAATATATGCAACTCGTGCACGGTGATCATATTATGTAGTCCCCAAACCTGTTTCATATGACAGTGTTCTTTGTAGAGCTTTGACGTCTGGTGCTTTGTGGAAGGCTAAGCCGGAAAGAAAATAGCCCAAGATGAACGCTGACAAATGAAATGCAATCACAAGGAACAAAACAGACATTCCAGAAGGGGATACGAGGGAATCTATGTTAATAGCGAGTGGAGCTCCTACACAGAGAGCAGTCACAAAAACTGATAGGGGAGGCAACAGCGGCCGAATAGCATTGCAAATCTGCGGGAAGAATCTGTTGAAGCAAAACCAAAAGTCATAAAGAATGAATTTCGGATCGTTGAAGGATACACGTACACATAACATCAATAATACCTATTCAGAAAGAGTCCACCAGCAACAGGTGCAACAACAATCTGGAGTATGTTGGAAATCATTCCCTTAACATCCACAGGCAACTTTTTCCCAATAAGCAATAAAGTTAACGTCGGGGTGATAAAAACAGCAGTAGCTGTAGATAACGCTGTCATCACTATACTAAGAGGGGCCATTTGTGGATCGGTTAGAAAAGTAGCATAATTTGACAGCTGTGCTCCGCTAACACAAGAGGTCAACATAATCCCAGCAGCTGATACACAGCTAACAGAACTTTAGTCCGCATACTATTTTCTTTCCTGGAAAAGGGGTCAGAGATTTTACCTAAGGAAGTTGGAAGACCAAATACGGCCATTGCAATTGTGCCAAAAAGATACCCGAGTAGTGGCTTCAGAGCAAATTGACCGATATAACCAGCAAAAATGGCAGCGGGTTTCTTAAAAGCTTCAAGAAAGTCCTTTTCACTTGAATTGACTCCAACAGCAAACATTAAAAATCCTAATGCAGGGGCATAGTACCTAGAAACGGCAAACATCACGGTAAATATGATAACAAACGACGAGGTTAAAAATTAAGAAGTTTGGACTTTTTGGTGTGCACTCTGCAACTATTTGTCTCATAATACCTTTTTCTCTAACTTCCAAGATAGACAACGTGAGACCAAATCGGTGCAAATATTGAATGGCAGACTTCTGCCAAGATCCAATTCTATACCTCCATCTTTTTCTAGAGGGGATGAATTGGTAAAAAATAGATATGTTCACGGAAAACTTTCAATAAAGGAATTACTCTGACCTCTGGCACGGGTCTCTATGACACCTCCTGCTACAACTAATGCCAATTGGTTTAGTTATAGAAGCCTCAGTATACATTTATAAGGATAAAGTCAAATGATATGATCAAGCCACGAAACTCTGACCAAGTCTAGCAGAGAGATATAACTTATAAGTCCTCTAGAATGCAATTAATGATTTGTGCCGGCAAAATTTATATGAGTTTCTCCTTGGAATGAGTTGTTGATTCTAGTATACATGATAAGTAATCCAAACAAACAAAAGTCTGAAAAAACTCTTCTTTCAGAAAGCGATCAAATGCATACATTTTGAAATTCTCCGAATTATCAACTTTAATAATGTGTATTACAAGACTCAAAAGTATCTTACAACTGTTTATTTATGTAGTTCAACAACATAAAGATGCCACCTAGTTCACGAATGCAAAGGAAATATTTTCTTCTATTCAACTAATTTGCATAGACAGTATATAACACCTCCAAAAGTAGAACTTAAGCTCCAAATTAAAATTAAAAATGCTCTTGCTTGCTTTTAAACAAAATATAAATGTACTTGCTTCATGCAGTAACCAATGTTTCTTAAACATCAAACAGGGAAAGTAATTACATGTCAATTGAATTCTTTGTCTA